CTATCGTTTGACTTTCCTGTTTCTGCTGAGATTTTAGTGGTAGCCCACCTTCACATGCCACCTGAACCCTGGTGTGGAGCACGATCCTTCCTTTGGACTTTCCACAGCACTCTTCCAAAACATGTGTATGTACGGAAACTTCACATCAGGTTTGGGAAGATGAAAGTGGTAAAACTGTAGAAACACAGAGCAAAATCCTAAAAAATATGTACTCAGTATTTACGTTCTTGGGTGTCTTTTTGCCACCTGGTCTCTGGAATTTTCAATGGCTGTTTTTCTCCTCAGCTTCCAGCCTCCCACTGTCTCGTTAGTCCCTTGATTCATTCTCTCACTCCTCCTCTCTCGGCTTTCATGCCTAAATTCTGAACTTCCTATGCCAAATGGAGTTCTTGGCACTTACCTATTTCTTTCAGCATGGAGTCTTTAGGCCTCACCTTCCTATAAAAAAATGATCTAAATAAAATAAGTCTTTCTCTAAGAATTCCATGACATCTGTTGAAATTGTCACTTTTTTAAAAAAGATTTTTAAATTTTTTATTTATGAGAGAGAGAGAAAGAGAGAGTGTGTGTGTATGAGTGGGGAGAGGGGCAGGGGAGGAGAGCACTGAGCTGGGAGCCCTACACAGGGCTCAAGACCAGGACCCTGAGATCATGACTTGATATGAAGGCAGCTGCTTAACCAACTGAGCCACCTGGGTACCCCAGCTAAAAAACTTTTAAATTCAGGAGTACCCAGTTGGGTTCAGTTGGTAGAGCAGGTGACTCTTGATCTCAGGGTTGTGAGTTCAAGCCCCAGACTGGGTGTAGAAATTACTTAAAATCTTGAAAAAAACTCTTAAATTCAGTCTGTGCCCTTGTCAAGCTGCCTGGCGTTGCCATTCCCCCTTTGCTGGTCCCGCACAGTTCTTGCTCACAGGTTTGCAAATGTTAACTCCTACAAGCCCCAGGCCCCACCGCACCCATCCCATTTTTCAGCGAGTTTAACTAGTGTCTCTCTCCCATTGTACTAACAGTATAACACTTACCCGGCCTGGCTTCTATGACTGATACTTGTATACCTATAGTCTATTCAATTTTGCATCTCAAAAGTGCCTTTCACGTAATAGGCACTCAATACGTGCTGAAGTGAACTTGACGAGCACACAAGGTAAGAACACCGTTTTCAGCTCCTAATCAGATGGCTAACATGACAAGAGCTTCTGAGGGCTGCAGAATCCATGGGTGTACAAGTAGGGACACATTCATTCAGTGAAACTTTATTAATTTCTCAGGGATGCACCAATCACCTAGGAGTCTTTTCATCCTCCTCCGCTCGGCTGTGCATTAGCCCATTTCCTGCATTGTCCGGGCAGGGTCTCTAAAGAGGGTTTTCAATCTTCTCTATTTCCCATCCTATCAATCCCTGTTATTTGGTGGGAAAGAGATGGAAAGTGTAAGAACCCCCAAATCTCACTTTCTGTTTTCAATCAGCCAAGTGGAGGAAAGCACGGGAGTCCGTAAGTTCTGGTGCAGGTGGGGACAGTTGTCCACAGGTCCCTATAAATGGGCTGAGCACCCCCCCAATACTGTAACCATGGCTGCTTCCAGTAGCGCAGTCTCACAAGGACTAAAGCCAGGGCAGAGTCAAGATATATACTGTGCACAGTAATATTCGTGGCAGGAGGGACAAACAAGTGGTGGCAGAGTGAAGACACCCAGGAGTGGAAAGGACAATATTCCAGGAAGGCGGAGTACCTAAATGTACAGTCACTCATGTGATAAAAAATAGATCAATTAAGATTCTAGACAGAATAAGACAGCTATGCACTTTACATGAATGATATAACGTAAGTAAGAAGTGATGGCAATGATAATGGTGATCCCCTCTACGGAAATGAAGAAGTGGATTTGACCAAGGCTACGTAGCTACTATGTACTGGGCTGGAATTCAAATCCAAAAAGTAGGACTTCATGGCTATGATCTTAACTCTAGTTTCTATTACCTCATGTATTATGTGGGGTTGAATTAAGAAGTGGTGAATTTTTTATAATTACAGAGGAAACTGACACAGCAAAGGGTTCGCCACCTGGCCTCCCAACCACAGAAAGGCTGGTTAGAAATTCACTTGGATACCTTTCTCAAGTTGGGGCATCTCTGCAATGAACTGGGGGAGGACAGTTACGTGCTCACCCAAAAGTCTGGCTCTTCTCTGGTTCACATCTATAATTTGTGGCCTGTGGTGTATGCAATTAGAGACAACGCGAGAGTGCCTGGGTTGCAAGCATCGTCCCAGATAGCAAAAATGTGGCAGGCAGGGCCGGTAGGAGGTGGTCCTTCCAACGAGAGGCAGGGATGACCATCTGGCTGAATGTTCGGTGTTACAAGAACCCTGCACCTCAAGCGAACTATCCTGTGCCCCACTCGTGTGGGTAACACTGACTGAGGATCACCCACTGTGTTCTCTAGAGGACACAAGACAGAAGACTGGAGGCCTTACAGAGCCGGGAGACACGGCCGGTCACTGCACAGCAGCGTTTCCAGCTGGGGTACAGGTAACATTGTAGTTATGCTTCTATCATTAATTTGCTTCGCAATTCTACTTATTTTATTTTATGCGTTAAAAGACATTCTGTGAAGGGGGTCCAGAAATTTCACTGGGCTGCGAGACAGATCCAAGGCACAGGAAAGCTTAACCATGCCTGGCAAGAGAGAAGACAGCTTTCTAAACAGAGGAGCCAGGGGTTAAAGCACCAAGCTGTAACCACCAGCAAGGACAAACTTTCCTTTTCAGAGAAGTCATAATCCACGGAACAGTCTAACGCCATTATCATAATACAACTCCCATGAAGAGTTGGCGTTGCTGGTGATGGGAAGCTAGAGACCACGTGAGACACTGGTTAACTGACGTTGACCACCCTAAGACAAAGTTAGCACAAAAATCCCCATCTCATGGGCTCCAATCAGTCAGAGATTACACCATTATACATGTGACACAAGTAGTTATTCTGAATTGAAACACTCCTAAAAATTTTATCTTGTGTGACTGGGTTTCCTGAAGGTTTTCAAAATAATTACTTAATTCTTCCACATAAGGAAATTAATAACAACATAGACCAGACAGTCTGCAGAGTTTCCTTCTAGGAGAGTGGAGCATACTAATTCCAATATATGAAAAGAAAACAGAAGAAAATACGAGCTGATATGTCTTAATCCTTATCCGAAATGGTGTAAGATAGTAGAACTTGGCTAAATCAAATGAAAAATAATCCAAAGATAATTCACATTTTTCTTGGAAATCCATTTTAATACTGTACTAATGCTGAATGTGTCTGATATTTTCAGGTTTAATTTCATATCAGATTTACACACGTGTACACGCAAACATACACATTCAAAATCCTATTTATCAGAAGGAATCATGAAGGATAATGTCTACCTTTCCTCAGTAATTTTGCTTGACTCATGCTTTAAGATTAAAGTAAGCAATTACATACATCTGGGCTCCAAAATAATAAATTTAGATTGTGAATGAAGTCAGAGACACAAATAACAAAGACAAGCACAGATTGGTCAATTTACTAGTCTAGTATTTAAAATATGACATTCCTGATAGTGTCAGTTTAAACTGGGTGCACAATGAGAAAATGCATTTCAATTCAAAACACAAACTATTTTTATAAATTGGAAATAAGTCAGAAATACTCAGGGCTATTCTGAAAGGTTGAAAGGGCCAGTGTGTTTACCTCTCGCCCTCCCATGTGGATGGAGGTCCTGTGTGTCTTCCGAGCCCTTGTGGACACCAGATGGATATTTTATAACATCCGGTTCATGTACTAAGTTTCAGTGTTTTAAGAATTAGGTTTGCCTTGGCTGAAAGTAAACTGAGTATTTTTTTATATTCCACCAATATTTTCTTCAGTAATGATTGGTTTAGTAGCACTTCATGAATGTTTTCAGATGCTTTGTTGCCAAAAATGTATAACCTTTATGTAAAACCAAAATACGCATTTTTGAAATGTTTTAATAAAAAAATCTTTCTAACTTTCCCACAGTGTTGTTAGAGGATCAATTAGAAGAGATGGGCATATTTCAAATGATTTTAATTTGATGTTTTTCTTTTCTTAAACTGTGAATAGCCATCCCACAAAAAGTAGGGGGGAAAAAAAGAGTCACAGAATCCCAACAAAAACTTCCCAGATGGTCTGAGAGAGGTGATAAGGGAGGTGAGTGTTTTGAGTTTTTAAAACCTTTGGTTTCCATATTGATGTTGCCCAGGTAAGAAACTGAAAAGGGGTTAGGCAAAGAGAATAGCACAAATTTGCGTACTAGGAACTTTATAAATGTTGAATCTTTAATCTCACCAATTTTGATCAGGTTCATGATTGAGTAGTGAAAGGATCTAAAGAGCTTTCTGAAAGTTACAACAGGGGGCAAATGCGAAATATTAAGGTGACAACTGTCATAGATTACAGGCCACAAGAAGCCATGTGCAAATTATATAAAGCCCTTCTATATCTTGATCATTTTCTTTGAAAAGATGGTTCCGGTTAATCTTTAAAAGAATGAAATAAAATGCAATCAATAATGTGCCACTAATAGGTAACAGTGTAAATATTAGAGTATAGTTAATAATTTAACAACCTAATAAAAGTCATCCTGAAAAAAACCCAACATATTTCAAAATAATTTTAAGCTGATACTTGGAAATATGATTTGATTTTAAGGTTACAATAAACTCAGAAAATATATAATTCAAAATACTTTTTAGTTTTATTAACAAGTGTGTGGGTAGCTTTTTCAATTGAGAGCTTGAGATTTTATCATTCTTCTTAAGTTAAAAAAAAGTAGTGTAATTGAAATTCAGTCTGCAAATAATTCATCCAGAACCTTCAAGTTTGTTTTCATATTTTGTGTTTGAGAATTCAAATGCTACTCTAGTAAATGAGGACAGAAAGATGTTTTATATGCATATTTGACGAAAATACTATAGTTATGTAAAATCACACAAGAACACACCAAATCATTTTTTCTGAGGTTTAATTTTAACTAATGAATTTTAGATGATGAATGTAATGTCAATCCAAATCTTTGCTTATCTGCAATGCACAAGCTATTTTTTGTAACTTGTAGGTGAAATAGATTCTTTTCACCATGGCAACGTTTTCTCCCTTGTTTATGGTCTTTCTTTTTCTTTTCTTTTCTTTCTTTTTTTTTTTTTTTGTAGTGAGTCCTTTTTCTTCAACAGTTTAATAAGTCACTTCTGGTTTGGCTAAAGAGCAATCCTAGCACAATAATGTTTCAACTTGCAAGGAAGAACGCCCTTATTGAGTTGATAGAACTCCACCAGCTGGATTAGATCTGTAAATCTCGTGTGGCCATCATCCAGGGTGTGGAACAGTTCACCATCATCTTCCACCTATTGGAAGGAAAACAACAAACTGGTAAGAAGGACAAAAACCCACAAGGACAATCATTCTCTATCACATACCGTGTCTTCATACACTAAAATGGACAAGTGGATGAAACTAAAGATAGTGGAAAAAAAAAAAAAAACCTTATGATGTGTTCACTTTTTTTCTGTAACTTCACTTGTATACAGAAGAAATATCAGTTGACCCTAGGATCCACAGGGGGCTCTACTTTCTATACCTCAAATTCTCCCAACGTTCTGTAGTTAGAATAGTATGACTATTGTGAATCAACAGTGAGAAATCTGCACTATTCAGTGTAAAAGTAAACAAAAGATTTTAATGGTCCCACAGAAATTAATTTCCGTATCTGAATGTTGTCTATTTAACAGCCTCAATTAGTATATTAGAAACAAATATTCACATAACTTCTACCCATAAATTGATTCTGAAGCAATCAAACATGTTAAGGGGATGACAGCTTCTTCTTCTTCTTTTTTTTTTCTGGCAGTGAGGTCTTGTGACATTAAACAACTCATACTCACCCAGGGACATTATTTACATACTCAGTGAAGTTGGTAAGATACTTCATATGGACTTTGGATAATTCCAAAAAGAGGCCATTCAAAAGGAAACACTAGCAAGGTAGCAATCTTATGTAAAACTTCCCTGAAAGTAGACGGAATCTCTATGCCACACTACCTGGTTCTGATACACAGATCACATGCATACACACGTGCGCACACACACACACACACACACACACACACACAGAGCATCAGCAGAAGCAACAAAAATCCCAAAGCCAAGTTGTGCCACCCAGAAACAGAATTACAGAAATTTTTGAAAAGTGCTCAGAATAGTTTAAATGTTTTCTGGTTCTGCAGCACCTGGGTATCTATCCATAATGATTAAAAACAAAACTAAGAAAACAAAAAAACAGGGGCGCCTGGGTGGCTCAGTCGTTAAGCGTCTGCCTTCGGCTCAGGTCATGGTCCCAGGGTCCTGGAATCGAGCCCCGCATCGGGCTCCCCGCTCCGCGGGAAGCCTGCTTCTCCCTCTCCCACTCCCCCTGCTTGTGTTCCTTCCCTCGCTGTATCTCTCTCTGTCAAATAAATAAAATCTTTAAAAAAAAAAAAAAGAAAACAAAAAAACATGTTTGAGATAAGAAAGGAGGAAGGGTTTGAAAATAATGGCTTTTAAAGAACCTCCAGTAGAATTCAGAAAGAATCTTTAGTGGCCTTTTAACAATAGGTGGCATGGGGTCTATACAATATTGGTAAATCATATTTCATGGAAAAAGGGAAATTTAATTTTTACAATTCCTGTATTTCTTATATTAATTCAGGCTCATAAAACCATTTCTGCCAAACTTAAGTCTAGTCAAAGCACAAGCTCCCCAGTTATATTTAATAAAAGATCCAAAGAAAACCAAAGTTTCCAAAATCTTATGCATTAAGATCATCTCTAATATATGAATGTGAAATTACAAATTACTTACTGGTATAATTTGAAAATGCTTTATTTTTTGTCCATGACTCATTGATAGTACGAAAGTTTTGGGGTTACTCTGACTATCCCGTACCAAGAAAACTCTAAAGAGAGAGAAGGAATTTCAATATGTTTCTATATTTACTTATGTATTTCATAAAAATATAGCATGTAACAAATCCAGGAAATATATTTATAAATGTAGCCAAGAGTTTTCCTTTACTGTGTATTCAATGATGGGATTATCCAACGTGGTAAACAATATGGTATAACATCATCTTATACTAGAAAACTGTCATCAGTGCTAATTTCACTTTAATAGGATAAATACACAACCTGTTTGTCAGATTGTTCACTCACAATAAGCAATATAGTGCTGTGCTGACATCAATAATTAGTGTTATGTTCTTTTACCATTGGAGAATTGGGTATTCACATGTAACACGTGTGTGCAGAGAATGGTGCATTAGCATATTATTACTTTAACTTCTGGGTTATGTTAGTCCCTGAAAAGAGAAAATTATTTAGAACGAAATCATTTTAAACCCCTCTTCAACACTGATCTCCCTTTATTTTCCGACTCTGGTTCCTATGTTACATATACATCGGAAAGTGAGAAATGAATATATTCTAAAAAATCAATCCGGAATCATCTATTAAATGTTTGAGTACAATGCTTTAAGTAAAAGAAACACCCAAACAACATATATTTTAATCTTGAAGAATGCAGCAGAAAAGCCTCTATAATGTCAGGCTCGCAAAATCTAAGACATGGCCTAATGGCCTAAGAGAAAAACGCTGCCAGGCATGGATTTTTGTTTACTGGCAATACAGTGCAAAACCAGCTTCGTGTTAATTGTTGGCAAACAGATTGTGCAAACAATCCCCTCTGGTGACTCCAATACTAATCTCACTGTGCCTGGGCATGGAATTTGAGCCATCACAGATGTCGGATGAGATTATCCATTTCATTTGTACTGTGTGAGATTCCTACATTACATCACTGGGAGATGGGACAAAAGGGAGGTTCACTCATAAAGCAAGCTGTAATTCTTTCTCCATTCCCAAGCGGATCACCACTACCATCTAGTGGACTGCCTGGCATCATCACATCTTTCCAAAGGATTCTGCACCAAGCCCCACCCCAATTTTTTATTAAAAAATTAAAAAAATAAAGATATTATCCTTCTTTTTGCAATTATTTCATTCAACTTATAAAAACTAGGCTCTGAAAATAGGGAAATTATAATCCTCCAAAACATTTTAATGATTCTTCATGATTTATTTCTCTTCTTGGTCTCATCAGATTGTAATTCTGCTGATTGTTGAAATTTACATCTAAAGAGACTGTGCTCCACATAGAGAAGTATATTAAAATCTCTTATTTAGAGTCTAGTGAAATGCTGACTTGCTATTAATAATCGTCCATGTGAAGATGCATTTTTATCCAAATGTCAGTATTAAATCACCTTGAAATCTTGTCATCATCTTAAGCCAACCCTTGAAGATAAAAGACCCCATCACCACTTGTTTAAATTGATGCTGGTTTTATTTCTCATCCAAACCTCAATACAACCTCCTTGATTTGCAGTGCATTTGAAAAGGGAATTTAGCCAGTATTCCAGGAAGTATTTGAAATACCGAGTCATTTGAGAAAAAGAAAACTCTTCAGATTGTTAAGTATTTTGTAATACAATTTACATTTCTCTTGTATCTCCCGTGGTACCCCACTAAAAGATGACATGAGAAACACTCAAGAAGTACTCTTTTCATAGATTTACACTATTTTAAGCTGTGAAAATTGAGAGAAAATAGGAAAGTAAACAGAGAGAAAAAAAATAAAACAAGCAGTCAAAATATAAAAGAAAGAGTGTTTTAACTGAATACACTCTGCATCAAACTTAAAACTACATAGAACATGTAAGATTATGTCATGACACAAACCTTACTCTGGAATCATATGTTGTTGACACCTCAAAACAAGTTCAGTTTTAACTGAGATACTAGTAGGCACAGAATGGGTAATATTAGTAATTATTAGTTAACAGCAGAGCATCCTATTCAGTTATCTGTTCGTTTAGGCACCAGTACTAAGCACACACGATGTAACAGGTATTATATAGATATGGCTAGGATATGATGGTAACCTCGAGAACAAAGTCACTTCTGTTTTACGATAAGCTGAAGTAAAAACTATGTGTATTAAGTAATCACCGATTCTAAGAGAAATCAAAATCACGACCATTCAAAATCAAACTTACCCATCCACAAGTCCTTGCTGAATAATCAATCGCTGAGCTTCATCTCTAGAAATTTTGTGGTGAAACCATGGCTGGGACCGGTGGATGGCTGAAGAAATAAAATGGAGGAATACAGAGCTTTGTTTGAAATCCTCCCAATTTAATCACATATACTTTCTACCAGGGCTACCCAGTCACCTCACCCAAGTGCCCATCCATCCAGACATGCAGTCCCCGTGAATAGGCACAAACATACCCATGTTTGTGGCCGAGCTCTGGGAAGAGGCAGTTGGGCTACCGTGGGTGGCCAGGCGTAAACATCCTTTTTTCTGTGCAAAGAAAGGGGAAACAAATTTCAACTTTTGGGGTGAGACAAACTCAAATCATAAATACTGTGAAGAATGTGAAGCTATTTGTACCCTCCAAGCGAGTCCTTCTTCAACAGCGACTGAAAGAGCTTCCGTGGGATTTTCTATAACTCTGCTTTTCTGTCCTGAGAAGTCCATTGCTACGAGAGAATTCTCTGATATACTTCTCTGGGGGGAAAAAAACACACATGTTTTTTACCATGAAAATATCTTTGAATGTTCTCTCTTAATGCTTTGCTGGCAATACATTTCCACTCTAGAATGTGATTCCAAAGGTGGCTGGCAGGAAATTTAAAAAGTCACAAGTGCATATTTAAGATAAAAAGGGTGCTATGAAATATTTTGGTTAAATAAGTTACACAATTATTTGTTAAGGTCACTGATTTAAGTGGTTGAGTAAAGAGATTAAAAGCTTTCAGAGTTAGCATGTCTTTCTCTTAAAAGAACCCTATCTCTTCATATTCTCTGGTAAAATGGGAAAACATCAATTTAGAAAGGAGTAACTCTTCCTGTGGCTAAAAGACCCACCACTTCTGAACTAATCTCTATTATGATTTGAGATTCACCCATTATCATTTAAATGTCAACCCTATCTACTGACAAAGCAGCTCTTTTATAAGATTCAAAATAGACAAAAGCTGTAACTTAGATTGACTTACATCACTTCTTGAGAAAGAAAGAGTACTCATATTTTATAATGGAACAAACTACAATATGTATTTTAAAACTGTATCACATCAATGTTCATCTTACTTAGAAAATAAAATTTAGCGGTGCCTGGCTGGCTCAGTCCGTTGAGCTCTGACTCTTGATTTTGGCTCAGGTCATGATCTCAGGGTCCTGGGATGGGGCCCCATGATGGGCTCCACACTCAGTGGGGAGTCTGCCTGAGGATTCTCCCCCCTCCCCCAGCTCATGCCCATGCACACGTGCAAGCATCCTCTCTCTCTCAAATAAATAAATACATCTTTAAAAGAAGAAAAGAAAATTTAGTGAAATAATGACTCTACTAATTCCATAATATTAAAATTTCTATGATTTACTTATATGAATATATTTTCATCTGGTGAGGATGCACATGGAAAACTGAGAGCTGCAAAAATAAATCTGACCGACAAAAAAAAGAACTGATATAGAAGGAAGACATCGCCAAGCAAACCTAATTTAAACAAATAATACAGTCTTCCTTTGGCATTACTTTTTGTCTTCATATTCTCTGAAGGGGAATATGTCCAAACCTGGACTTTAGTTTTACTTTTTGATTGTTTAGGGCTCTACTTTGCAACCATCTTTTTAAAAAGAGTGCCATTCCCAGTCATGCATCCTAAAAAAAAAAAAAAAAGACAATTATCAAATCTCCAGTCAAGAGTCTCAGTCAGTTTGTAAGAAGTAACACTCTCCGGGCGCCTGGGTGGCTCAGTTGGTTAAGCGACTGCCTTTGGCTCAGGTC